ACATCTGATGGACTTTCTTTCATATGTTGAACACAAAAGAAGAGGTTTTGCAAAACTTTATTTTAATGGTCCTTTTTGCACATTTTGTTGACTACAAGTTGCATTGCAAATACATGCCAGTTACTTCTCATTTGCGTATTAGTAGACTGTCTGCTTAATATCTGCTGATACTGCTCCTTCAACAGACATTTAACTGACTTTAAGAAACTTTGCAAGTACATGTCAACTTTCACTAACCCTAACCTCAACCTGACAGTCTACTTATAATCTAATGAGCTTTATTTGGCATGTAAATGCAATGTAGCAAAGGGACCATCAAAATAAAGTAATATCGATATCTTCCATAGTATTTTTTCTTCCTACTAAGAAGGTCAATAGATCTTTTCTCCCAAAATTCTTCAGAATATCTGCTTATGTGTTCAACAGAAGAAAGTAGGGATGTACCGATCAGTTTTTTGCCCTCGTGTCAAAGTCATTTGATTTTGAGTATCTACCAATGCCGAAACCCAATCCGATACTTCTATAATATATTAAAAAAATAATAATAATAAAGAAGAACGAAGAATTAAATCCAGGATGTTTCTTATTTTCTATTTAATTCACCTTATTTTAACATTTAACATCTCTGCTAACAAACAAAGCACTTCTGTGAGGTAGCTTGATCAAGTAATAAATGACATCAATTCTTCACTTTTAGACTTTAGTGCAACAGTAAATATAAAAAAATCTAATATAAAAACAAACAGCACCTCAACTTCAAATACCCAGCAGGCAATCCCAAATTTACTTATCTCACAGTTTGCTGAAATGTTGCTGTCATCAACTTTATAATCCCTCTAACTATTAATGTGTTATAAAATCACAAAATTAGAATATAAATATATTATCCGGTATTCGAGTCCTGATACGGAGGTAACATCCTATTCCGATCGAGTCTGAAACCACGTGATTGAGCCCGATTTCCATATACATGATCGGATGTAAAACTCATTTCAGTTTAGAACCACTTGAGTTTGAGTAAATGGTGAGGAAAATAATTTTTTTGGGTGTAGTATTTAATTTCTTTCTATTTCTTCTTAACTCTGAGTTAAAATATATATTGTGATTTTTTTTTTTTATTGATAAAAAGTTATTCTTCACTGTGAAACACATTGCACATATGTTGATTGTATTCAGTCACATTCACTGTTATTTTTTATTAGTTTCATGAAATTAAATTGAAAATTAATTCTGTCCATTTTGACTAGTTACAAAAAAATGTACTTGATTTACTCAGAGCGAGCTCAAATTGCCTTAAGACCTTATCAAATGAGTTGAAACAACACGATTCTTAATTTTTAAGGGGGGTTAATAGTAAAACGTAATAGTTTTTTCTTCAATCCACTTAAGTTTGTAAAAACGATTAAGTGAATTTAATCGATTTGTGTTGGGATAACATGTAGGAGTTGCATGGAACCCAGGATTTTGTACGGTGTACTATATACAACTGTTTCATATTATTGTTATGGACTGTATTGTCTTTTGTTTTTTTTACAGTGAGCAAATTAAAAATCTATATAATTACAAAAAAAGACAAAAAAAATCATGACTTTACAAATCAAATGTTCCTTCAATTATAGAATTACTTATAAACCTGTAGTTTTAACATATAACTGACTAAATGTGTTGAGAGAACTAAAGGAAATTTAATGATGGCTAACTTTTGTCTTATGTTTTTCTTAAATCATCTACTATACATTTTCAAGCATAAGTATGGATTTGATTAGGCTATCATTACTGTTACTACTTCACACATACTGTATAAGCCAAAGTATAGACCTTTTATTTTAGACTTGGGTCAGTAGAGTGTCAGCGGTGTTGCTTTGGAAGTATTTTGTCTCAGGGATTTTTAAAAAGTCTCTGTTAAGTCATATTAATCCATAAACCACATTAACCAGCTACAAACTAAATCACAACATTACAAAGTTTGATTTGAATCAAAGAAATAAATGTAAATCAGACAAAAGAAGGCACAGCACTGGTACAGAACTTTATTTAGGGAAAGACCTTCATGAGGTATTCATCTAAAGTTATTAATTATATATCTAAAGAAACAAGTTTGTCAAAATGTATGTGTGTATTATATAAGTAATTTATACTTCTAGTATAAATTTATTTTGGACTTTGCTTCCTCAATCAAACATTTGGCTTTAATTACAATGGAATAATTCAGTCTAATTTTCATAGTTTTTGTGTGTTTACTAAGTAAAATAATAATATGCCTGAAACATCTACATTCAGTATTATTTGTAAATTTGAAATTAAACAAATTGTGTTTGCTTCTATGTTCGGGTCAACTCGGTTATAAAAAGGCACAACAATCTTTAAAACACTGATAGAAAAAGCATGCGACTTGCTCCAAGTAATGTCTCTTCCTCTGGTAGGAACATGCAAAAGTCATCGAGCCATGTCATATGTTGTTTTCTCATTAAGTTATACAAAATGTTGTAGATTAATAATATGTCAACTCTGTTATTGTGATATTTCAGTGAATTTCTATCCGCTTTTTAAAAACAATATGATGGAAAAGCATTATATTCAGCCTGATCTCACGAGGAAACGTTACTATTTTATGTTTTGTCAGTTTAGTGGCTAATTCATAGGAAATCATACGAGTTCAGTTGTACGAAAAAGTAGCATTTTAAAAAGGATGCGTGGCACCCAACCCTGCCCCAAAACCCAACCATCATTGGGGATCAGTAAATCAAACTAAATAGTACGAATGAGATCATACACATTCATACTAATTAGCCACTATCAAAAAGTTACGATTTGCCGTGAGATAGTGTTGTTATATCAGCATCATCTTTTTTTCATTAGCATTTTGAACTAAAGGGCAAAAGGATGGAAAACGTCAACACTGTTATTATTATATTTTAAAACAAGTTAAACAACACTTATTAACATAATGAAATGTCCTCTATCACTAATTAAGCCGTTTGCATTAATTTACAATATTTATAAGGGGTTTAGTTTACTGTAAATCATACATTGGTTATATATCATTCCAGTTTAAGAGAAATTAATGTAAAATACTTGAAATGATTAGGTTTTATGACGTAGATTTAGGTTGTAACGTCAAGTGACCAAAAAGATGTTGACATTTGGTTGATTTTTGGTTGTGTTAGAAAGTGACCAAAATCCAACGTCAAGCCAACATCTTAAATCATATTGACGTCAAAAACTGACATTTATTTATCAGGTATGGCAATCAAAATCTAACGTCAGATAAACGTCATAAGGTCCAAACAACGTCAAGCTATAACATCATACGACATTGATATTTGGTTGATTTTTGGTTGGACGTTGGACATTGACGTCGGCCTCACATTGAGTTCTGACGTCAAAACAATTTTCATTTTCAAACACTTGCAAAAACATCCCTACAGCGTCAATCTGACATCATGTTGATGTCTTGTGTCTGCTGGATGTTTAAGGCCATTTCGGTCATCATACAGTAAACATCCATCATCTTGTCATCATTGGCATACATCCAAACATTCTCTGGGTCAGTGCATGTAAAGATTTTGGACATCTTCTTGAACTATTTTAAAGCTTCCAAATAGTTTGCTGCATAAAGCGCTCATGTCTTGAGGTAGTTCATTCTAACGCGATTTACCTTCTATGTGAGCTTTGATTGGACAGGAATCACAGGACTGATTTTTCTAATCCCCATAGACATGAAGAAATAAAGTAGTGACTGCAGGTTGAAGGAAAGTAGTGGAGTAAAAGTATCAGTACTGCTCTAAAATGTACTCAAGGGAAAGTAAAAGTACCCATTCTTAAAACTACTTAGTAAATTGCTAATTTCTGAGAAAAAACTACTCAATTACAGTCACTTGAGTATTTGTAATTTGTTATTTTACACCACTCCTTGGTAGAAAGCTAATTATAACTCAAGAATAGATAATAAATGTTAGTTTTAGAAAGACTAACTTACATAATGACTTTTATCACATGTATCTGCTTGTATGGGTTACAGGTTTGCTTTTCTGTGTGTGTTTCAGTAGAAGGTGTTTGAGATGCAGGCCTGGTGTTGCCATCCTTCGCTCACCTTGTTTTAATAAACACCTCTGCTTGTAGAAAACACAAGAGAGAGGCCAGACTCTCTGAACAGCGGAGTCTGCTTCACAACTCAAGGGGCTACAAAACTGCAAACACAAACACACACACAAACACACACAGCAAATGAATGTGACACAGTTCCGCAGGTGCATCCAAACCCCTTCACTTAAGCCAAAGTGGCTTGCCGGCCAGATTTATGGCCCTGACACAGGAATCCATTAAAGCCTTTTGGAGGATTCAAGGCCTGAACCCCCCGTAATCGCTTTCATTATAGCTGCCGGCTACTAGCGAGTGGGGCAATCAGTGCCCAACATGTGTTCCTGTTTATTCCAATGGCAAAGTGTTCGCTACACGCATCTCTCAGCTATTTTTATGGACAGGGTGGCCGTTAACCCATTCTGCATGCACCGATACCCAAGATTTTCGCCCAAGCTATTACAGCGAGCATTGACCAGTTGATCCGTCCGGTTAGCAACGTAGCGTGACGTTTTCCTCGCGCCTCGGGCTCGGCGGTTTAGTGGCGTGCTTTGATAATGTGGCAAACGGCAGTTTATGGCCTACTTTAGTGAGTGGCGGCGCGTTTGCGTGTGCGTTTGCGTGTCGTGGACGGCTAGTTAATGGTGAACCCTAAAGCCTGGGGCTGCCGCCGCGTGAAGCTGTGCCCAATAATGCTTCAATTCTTTAATTTGCCAATTAAACGTGTTGCACAGGTGTGTTATAAAAGCCAAGGGATTAGCAGACCTGGCACCTTCGTCGGGGACGCGGATTAATGTTGTCGCTTTGTAATGGGGACAAAGTTTTCAAAGTTTTTTTTTATAAATATTCAAGAAATGTGTTGCTTTTTTAGGTTAGCTGTGGTATTAATGTATTAATGTTTCAATCTTTTTTTTTTTTAGTATCAAAACCTGAAGTCATCTCCACACACGCTCTATCCTGACAGTTATAACAATGACGACAATGCTAGCAGGTAAGGGTTTTAAGTGTATTATTAAAGTATAGTAATATTGTTTTGACATTTTTGGATTTGTCAGGGTTTTTTTTAACAGAAGACTCATCAGGGATGCATTAGTTTAGCAAATATACAGTTGAATTCAGAATTATTAACCCTCTTGAATTATTATCCCCAGTTTATTTTTTCACCTAATTTCTTTTTAACAGAGAAAAGATTTCTTCAGCACATTTCTAAACATAATAGTTTAAATAACTCATCTCTAATAACTGATTTATTTTATCTTTTTCATGATGACAGTAAATAGTTTTTGACTAGATATTTTTCAAGACACTTCTATACAGCTTAAAGTGACATTTAAAGGCTTAACTAGGTTAATTAGGTTAACTAGACAGGTTAGGGTAATTAGGCAAGTTATTGTATAATGATGGTTTGTTCTGTAGACTGTTGAAAAGAAAATATGGCTTAAAGGGGCTAATAATTTTGAGCTTGAAATGGCTTTTAAAAAATTAAAAACTACTTTTATTCTAGCCGAAATGAAACAATTAAGACTTTCTCCAAAAGAAAAAATATTATCAGACATACTGTGAAAATTTCCTTGCTCTGTTAAACATCATTTGGGAAATATTTAAAAATGAAAAACATTTAAATGGGGGCTAATAATAATAATTTTAACTGTACTATAATAATATATGGTTCTTGAGCAGCGGATCACCATATTAGAAAGAATTGCAAACAGCATGTTACATTGCAGTGTGGAATAATTCTCTTAAAGTATTCACCTTTAAATCACAGGAGTAAATAAAATATAAATTACCCTATGGGTCAATGGTTTTAGAAATGTATGATTTTTTATGTTTTTTTATTCACTTCATTGAACGTTCAGTTCAATGCATGTTTATTTCTATAACGCTTTTACAATGTAGATTGTGTCAAATCAGCTTATTATAGACGTTCTAGTAAACTGAAACTGTGTCAGTTTTCAGAGTTGAAGTTCAGTTTAGTTCAGTTCAGTGTTGCTTAATTTTCACTGCTGAAAGTCCAAACACTGAAGAGCAAATCCATTGATGCGCAACTCCACAACTCCCAAACCATGCAAGCCAGTCGTGATAGTGGCGAGGAACAAACTTCGCCAATTGATGAAAATTAAGGAAAAACAAAACTCGAGAAAAACCAGGCTCAATTGGACATGACCATTTCTCCTCTGTGCATAGACATCACCTATATGCTTTAAAATCGCTGGTTAACTATGTCTGTATATAATAACTTTTATTTGATCATAATGCAATGATGTGCACTTTTTGTAAAGCTGCTTTGAAACAATAATGAATAAAAAAAAAACTCTGCACAAATAAACTGCAATTAAATTGAATTTTGCACCAAGCCTGCATTTATTTGATCTTAATTACAGCAAAAACAGTAACATTGACACATTTTTATTATATAAAATAACTTTTCTACTTATTTATTTTGTTCAAAATATTATATATTTTTTAAAATGTAAATATAAATTTAAAAATGCTCATTTATCAGCAAATATATTGTTACGTTATAAATGTCAATCATTTTAATCAATTTGATCAATCTTGCTAAACATTCATTTATTCATTCATTTTCTTGTCGGCTTAGTCCCTCAGGGTCGCCACAGCGGAATGAACCGCCAACTTATCCAGCCGCAACCCATCTCTGGGAAACATCCACACACACATTCACACACTATGGACAATTTAGCCTACCCAATTCACCTGTACCGCATGTCTTTGGACTGTGGGGGAAACCGGAGCACCCGGAGGAAACCCACGCAAAGGCAGGGAGAACATGCAAACTTCACACAGAAACGCCAACTGAGCCAACCATCTTGCTGTGTGGCGACAGCACTACCTACTGCGCCACGGCCTCGCCCTTGCTAAACATTGCGTCACAAAATAATAATGAAAACACACTGTAAAAAGTCATTTGTTAGGTTTATTTAATTGAATTATGCAAACCCGTTGCTCTAATTCAAGCTATCATAACTTTATCACAGTACTGTTTACTAATGTAGAAAAAGTCATTTTTATTTGTACTGAGTCACATTGACTTAGGTCAATTAAGTCATCTTAATTTAATAACAAGTATTATTTACTATTGCAGTAAAAGTAATTCTTGCTCATATTGAGTCACATTTGGTCAATTAAGTTAACTCATCTGAATGTATACTCTGAGGAATGATGCTAGTAAAGTTTACTTAAACTACAGTCTTAATCATGCTTAATTAAATTGTATGGTAACTAGTAAAAACCACAGGTGTCGGTTCAACACTTGTTTTTTGTTCTGAAACTTTTGACTGATTCAGTAATAAAATGGGTATTTCAAATTGTAATAATATTTTACAATTTAGCAGTTTTTGGTGCATTTTTGATCAAATTAATGTAATTGTAATGAGCAAAATGTGCTTCTTTTAAAAACATTTTAAAAAATCATGGTGATTCCAAACTTTTGACCCATTGTTTATGTTTTCCACAACATTTATGAGGTAAACAGCATCTATTTGTCAAGGCAACACTGCCCTCTGGTGCTTTTTTCTCTCCCATATGGCTTTGGGTTTACAGCCTGCCTGCGTGTGTTTGTTCAGAATCTCATCTGAGGACAGCGGGGAGGTGCCGTCCTACAATGAGGACAGTGATGAGTCTGATTTAGAGCTTCGGTCTGAAGTCAGTCAGTCAGGACAGATGAACCTGCTGGAGGAGATTCTGGACTCGCTCAGTACATCCCACATCGAGCAGGGCCGACTGTCCGCTGCCAAGAGCCTTGACTTCTTCAGGTCATTCGAAGACCTCGACTACAATCCCAAGGTCAGAGATTTCATTCATTCATTAATTGATTATTAACATATATTGATAATTAACATATCATAAATAATTATTATATTATATTTATATAATAATAATTGTTTTATTATTATTATTATTATTATTATTATTTTACTATTATTATGATGATGATTATTATTATTTGATTAGTATTACTATTATTTCTATTTTTATTTCTATTATAATTATTTATTATTATTAATAATACTATTATTTGTATTATTATTATTATTATCATTATTATTATTTATTATTATTTATTATTTTATTACTTTTATTTTACTATTAATATTGTTGTATTATTATTATTATTATTATTATTATTATTATTATTACTATTTTATTATTATTATTATATTTATAATATAATTTTATTATTATTATTTATATAATAAAAATTATTATTATTTTATTTATATTTTTATTAGATTTGACTAATAAATTTATTCTTTTCATACAAGTAAATTCATATTTGATTAATTATTTTCTCATTTCTGAGGTTCTGATATTAATATAAACATAAAGATATGTATTATTTAAATATTTATGGATTTTATATTTATCACTTAAAATTGTACTGATGTGTATTAGCTATAAAAATGTATAATATTTCTATGTTTAATTAATTTATTGTTCTTTGTTGTTTATTGTTGCATATGTTTGAATGTATTCATAATTAGTTCATTGTTTTATTTTATTTATTTGTTTGTATATTGCTTCACTTTATTTATTATTAATTATTTTAATTATTATTAAACTATTTTCATTATAAACGTATTTAAATGGTTTCATTATTTAAATTTCATTTTTTTATAATTTGTGATTTTTAAATAGTTTTTAATAGTAATTTATGCTAATTCAATTTATTAAATTAAAAGATCTATCTATATTGCAGAAGATAGAGTTTTAATTTGACAATTTTCGATTATTTTTGAGTAATTATGTTCAGTTTCAACAGTTAGTCAGGATCTTATGTTGACAAAATCTCAAATCTGTGCCATGATCTTGTGAATGTTTTGTACTGTTTCCAGAAAAGCTTCAAGTCTCCTCTGTGCAGTAGTCCTACTGCAACCGGATGTGAAGTAGGAAATGGAGAGCCAGCCGGCTGGAAAACAGGTCAAGATGACAGCGCTGTCCACGGTAAACATCTCCCGCCTTCACCTCGACGCCAAACTAGCTCCTGCTCCCTTCCAGTCCATCCTCCCCCTCCCACCGAAGACATCCCGATGAGGAACTCTCTCCCAGAGACTCCCACAATACAGATCCTGTTTCCCGACATGGAAAAGGCAACCAATTCAGCTGATGGCCTACTGAGCCCCGAAAAAAAGCACCCAGCAGCTCGAAGCCTCTCCAGACAGAAGGTCCTTTCCAGAAAAACCCAGAGGCCCCATCAGGAGCACAAAACAGCAAGCGGACAGCTTTCAGTGCATGTACCCTGGGAGAGGGAAAAGCAGCTCCTGGGCACAGGTATAGAAGGAGACAGTAGTGAGACTCAGGAGAAAGGCTTGTTAGAGGAGATCGAGTCCATGTGTCGCATTAGCATGGCCTTTGATAGCAACCAGGAGTTCATTCAGAACAACAGCAGTCGGGACAAATCCTGAGACAGCAGCACAACACTTGTTCATCATTGTCTGTTTTGTCTTCTGACGTCACACCAGCACTCTTCCTATGTGAAGGATCTGCAGGGGTGTTTAGTGGTTTATATGAATGATCGGTCCTCTTATTTCTTAACCAAAGGGCAAAGGTTTTGGATCAGTATTATTTTTTTTTACATCTGCTCACCAAGGCAGCATTTATTTGATCAAAACTTGAGTGAAAAATGTGAAGAGTTATTACTTTTTAAAATAAGCGTTTATTATTATTTTTGTAGATTTCAAATAGAATTTTATAGATCACACAATCTTTTAGAAATCTTTCTAATATGATGATGATCGCCACACATGCAAACAATGGCTGTGTCTCATTTCAGAGGCTGCATCCTCCGAAGGATGCATTCGAAGGGCGCTGCGTCATTACAGCACGACGAAGGTTGAATCATTTAAACAAAAATCGATGGCTCCTTTAAATGCAGCCTCAAAATGCGTCCTTCGTTTCCCAGGTAATGAAGGACACAACCAGTGGATCTTTTGTGGCCTTGAACGTTCCAAGATTCTTTGCGCGCTGATAACTGCAGGACATTTTTAACAGAAAGCTCCAGATTAAATGTATTAATTAGGTTTACCTTACTTGAATATCTAAACAAATGTTAAAAAACAAAACACCTATGTCTTACTAAGAGATCTGTCCTCTGTAGACTAGATCATCTCATTTCAAAATGTTCGGTATGGCTTGTGTGGACTTTGGAATGTGGCAGCCTTTGAAATGAGACAGGTATTATTATTATTATTATTATTATTAAGTTAAAAATATTTGGACTGCCATATGTGATCACAATTAAAATATATTTAAAAAAAAATCTTTTTTAATTCATTAAGGACACTTTACATTGTAAAAAAATAAAATATATAACTTTATTTTCATCAATGAATACAAAACAAATCATATTTTCCACAAAACTATAAAGCAGGAAAAATGTTTCCAAAATTGATAATTAGAAAGTCGTGATTAATGATTGAGTACTAGTAATAATTGATCTTAACAAAACAGCAAATCAGCATAATGGACCCTTTTCACAGGACGGTTATGATGCGTTTAACAGTCATCAGCATCTTAATTACTTAAATGTTTTTAAATTGAGATTTTTTAAAATAACATGTGAACATTTATATGCATTTATGTGTGTTGTATGTCAAATTATAAAAAACAAATTACCGCTTGTGCGAGAGGTTTCTAATGCATCAGCTATGTTTGAGGACAGTAAATTTGACGTTATTCTCTCCTCTCGCTGCCGTCATTAGTCTCACAAAATAGTTTTTCTTTTTCTGAACACCTTTATAACACGATTGAGAACTTTTTCTTTTATTATTTGAGCAAATAAGATTGTAACAAAATTATTAGTTCTATTCTCCTATTCCCTGCGCTCGAAGATTTTCCCATCTATGACGACTTCCACTACTGAGAAACCCGGAAATGTGAAAAGGTTCTATAGAATAAGTTCTGAAGGATCATGTGACACTGAAGACTGGGTTAATGATGCCCAAAATTCAATGTAAAATCAAATGAGTACATTGTATTTTAAACTGGATTCTATAGACCAGGGGTGTCTGAACTCGGTCCTGGAGGGCCGGTGTCCTGGAGAGTTTAGCTCCCAACACACTTCAATCAGCTAATCAAGCTCAAACTAAATATACTAGAAACTTCCTGGCAGGTGTGTTGAAGTAAGTTGGAGCTAAACTCAACAAGACACTGGCCCTACAAGACCGAGTTTGGAAACCCCTGCTATAGACTATTTCAATGTGGTCATGTCCTTGGCCAATGGACATTTCCTGCTTCAAACTTTCCTACATTTCAACCTATTTCAATTTCTATTTCAAACTTATTTATTTTTAAGAGGTAATACAATCATAACTTAATCTTACAACTACTATCATAACATTGTTTATTAATATTTGGATTCTCGGAAGCTATAGAAATTAAAAATGTAATGTAGGAAATAAGTTGGGACTATTTTATTTGTTTATATCCCTCAAATTTATTTTAAGTTGTAATAATATTTCACAACAAGTATTTACTGTAATTTTAATCAAATAAATGTAGCTTTGGTGAACAAAATGTATTTTACATAAAAAAATATCTTACTGATGAAAAACTTTTGTCCAGTAGTGTACATTCAGATAGAAAACAAGGCTTAAAGGGATTTAATTCGACATCCAGTTTTATTTATTTCAGCAGATGATTTGCATTTCGTATCGCTGTTTCGATAAATCACTGTGGATGAGGGAGTGAACTTCTCTCTGTTTGTAGTTTACTAAATCATACAAAAGTATTTAACTAGCTTAAAAATGATGCCTTAAACATTTAATTTGCTTTGACGCATTGTTTGATGACTGTGACACCGTAGCTGGCTTAGCTTGCTAACTGCTATCACTAACTTCTGCATGCAATGCATCTTAAAAAGACATATTTATGTAGGCCAGATGGACAGCTGGTTCACAATTTGCTATATTTTTAAAGAGAAAAGTATTTTTTCAAACACAGTTCTCAGGTTTCTGCTTTTATCCAAGATGAGACAACAATCCCAATTAGCTTTTTTATTTTAAAGGATTAATAGTAATAATAGAAATATTGTTTTTCTCGTTTTAAACGTGACAATATTTGGTACTGATAATAAATAGATTTATATATTTTACTCTGCTTATTAGTATATGATCAGTCTGACGTTTAGTCTAAGACCAAATAAATATGAAATTACAAATGCTTAAGCTATCCAGGCTTCCGTTAATTCCGAATAATTCACCCAAAAATGAAATTTCACTTATAATTTACTTACACTCACGCTATCTACGATGTAAGGCACTTTCTCTCTTCATCAAAGAAGATTTGTTACTCAAAATGGGGTCTTCACTGATCTATTAAATGCAAGTAAATGGCTCCCCACACTTTGCGAGTGAAAAAAAAACACACACACACATAAAGGGAACACAAAATTAATACTCAGCTTCTGGTTGCCAGGTTTTTGAAAAAAAATAATAAATCCCCCAGTCAAAGCTAGCTCAACAATTTTAAAACTCAAATATGTCAACTGCACATTACTAAAATACATATTTTACATCAGTGTATGCATTATGATACATTTATTTTTATTTTTATTATATTAGTATATATATAAAGATTCTGTTATCATAAAAAGATTGTTTTAATAAAAAATATTCTTACCTGAAAATTCATAGTTCAGCCGGCATGGTTTCTCTTGTGTGACTGCCATGTGCCTTCCAGTTAAAATTTAAACAACTCTGGTAGAATTGAAACCCAAATTGTGTATTTCGTTTTAATTTGAAGGTATATCCTTAAAAAAATTAAGATAAAACATTTAAGATATTAAAAATTATATTGTAATTCAACAGACTTTCTTCTATAGATTTCATTTAGTTTTGCAGTTATAATTGAGCAAATCCTGAAAAGTCCTGCCAATCTGCTACCATGAAAGCGTAAACAGCCGCTCATAAACAACTGTCTCTTTTAGTGCTCTTCATCTCACAAACATGAGTTGTTGCTAGATCAGATACAGTTGTGGCTGGAAGTTAACAATAATTATTTATATTGTTTATTATATTTCCCATTTATTGTATTTTATTAACATCTACCCTAACCCTAAACCCAACCGTCACAGTAATGTAAAAACAGTAGTTTTACAGAGTATTTTTATGTTATTTATTAAAAATACATTTATAATATTTATTAAAATAAATACTATTTTATTAACAACTCTAAACCCAACTGTCATAGTATTAAAAACAAAATAAATTATTGTAATACAGTTTTACAAAAACGATGCTTTATTGATGTGCGTATCCACAGCTGTATCCTTTCTAGAGTTTACCTAAACATGTGCTTAGTTTTATCAATAACAGTTTTTATCATATCACAAATATAATGACTCCAATACCTCAATTTTAAAACTCGCATATTAAAAAAAAAATCAACCAGTCACAAGTGTGACAACCGCAAACCTGGCAACTCTGCTTCTGATAATACATTGGGATTTAAAGTGAAACGATTGGTCTATGCAAGAAACTGAACTTCGACGTATCACTTTAAGTCATATTACTTTTAAAAATTCTGGTATATTTATTTTTGGGTGAACTATTCTTTGAAAAAACGAAAGTACCACAAGGGGTGCTGTAGCTGCATTAGCATAAACTAGGTACATCCTACTAGGGTTGTCCCAAAACTGGAATTTGGTATCAAATGATACTGAAGTTTAAACAATGTCTATTTCCTGGTAACATTTGAGTGCTGTTGACCACGTTCTTTAACGGCGCTGATTTGCCAATGTGTTCACATGCTCAACTGAAATAACTATGTTTGGCTTTTGGAGGCGTGACGTAATAATACTCAACCACTTTGCCTAGGCAAAGAATTTTTAAAACAAGAATTTTCAAAACAACATTTAAAATGTTGTACAATGTTGTGAGTCTGTCGGTTAGTCCATTAATGCTATCCCGTCGCGCATATTTTGGTCATCACATGATCTGTTTGAAGCGCATACTAGAATTGATTCGCTAAATGAGTTGACATTTTAGTTTATGTGCATTTGATATTATCGGTTAAAAGGTTTATCCCTCTACAACTACCTATAGTTACAGAAAAAAGTTTGTTATGCGTATTTTTAAAATATATGCTCATCTTGCTGTTTTTTTAATGCAATATTATAAAATGCGCATAAAAATATGCGGGTGAAAGCGGCTACATTATATATAAATTCAATTCGTTTTCAAAAAAAAAAAAAAAAAAGAAACCTTTAAAATTTTAGAATCTAATAATGCACTTAATGAAAAGCCAGAATCCCGGACGAGCCCCCCCTCAAACAAGTCATATTTGTGTACACTGAATCAATAAAAAAATCATTCAAAAAAGCTGCGATTCATCTGTGGATCGCTTGAATGTCAGCTTATAGACGTGATTTGAAATGCTCCAGTGTCCCTGTGTCTGTAGTTATATTCTGGAAACAGCGGTAAGTTCGGTGAACCGATTACCTTCATGGCCAATCACAGTCGTTTCTGTTGAGCTTGTGAACAAAATGGCAAATCACCCCTGTTTAAGAACATGCTTAACAGCGCTCAAATGTTTGTGGGAAATGGATGTTTTTAAAACTTCAGTATCAATTGGCACCAAATTCCAATATCTTTATTACCCTACATCCTAAAATAGCGTAACGCTTGCATAACTGCTACATTCGATGAGCAGCGAACTTTGGAAACTTCAAACAAGTGCGTTCTGTAGTATGAATGTGTGTAATAATCTTAATGTGTCATTTCACTTGCATTTATGAATCCTATCCTGCGGCCTCATGGGATAGTCGGCGTATTGTTCTCCAACTGTTACTATAACTTCAGACATGCACCGTTATTAAATTACTATACAATACGGAGGTATTTAAGATGTGAAAATTGACTATAGATAAAGACGTAACTTCAGCCATGGTGGTTCGAAGAGAAACTTGCTAGTTTTGTAGATATTTGAACATAACTACCCCTCCTCATTACTGACTAGCAAGATCAAACTCATAGTTTAGTTACAGAAAAGTTTACCGTTGTCCTTTGTTTCACTCATTCATATCAGCTGTGGCTGTGGCCTTCAAAGCTTTACTGCCGCAACAAACAGGAAGCGGTCATTAGATCCAGCACTTGTTTCTTTAGTGGCTGGTGAATTGTTTGGGCTGTTGGGCAGAGTGATTTAGGACACGTGCCATGCTGTCGGACACTTTAATGACTCTCCTCACCCCTCCGCTGTGGTAACGATATGGCTGTAAAAGCGTTCAGAGTTTTAGGAC